ATTGCCAGCATCCAACATGCCAGCTGCCAGCTCTCTGAAGAAAGCTGCACGAACCTCTCCAATCAGCTGCTCCGGCAGCTCAAAGCCCTGAGGATTGCATTTGCTGAAATTAAGGATTATTTTGTGAGTATGACACCTGTCAAAACTACCACCTTCTGTCTACTGCTTGTGTGAATTCAGTGATTTGGCATATCCCCATGGAGGAGGCAGGTTCCTTCGCTCAGAAAAGGCTCAGCTGCAAGCACACTCTGTTTTGGGTTCGGTGCTGGGAGTGAAATAAGTAGTTTAGTTTCATATCTTGCTAAGGGGAGAGAAAATCATTTCTTTTATCCAGATGCAACTGCGGAAAACTCAGCAGCTTTCACAATGAATTGTAGTGCATTTTAATTTTTTCAATATTGCATTTAAATTGTTTCCTTTGCTGACAGAGATAAATTCAACTCTCATGTAAGTGGGTGAAGTTAATGATGGATGAGATGGAAATATTTCACTATAGCTTTCAAGTTGTAGCTTAATATTTGTTCTTTAACACAACCAGTGCAAGTACAAAATTATTCTTTGTCTAGAGAATTTCATGCCCATTTCCCTCTCCTCCTGCCTGGGAATACTGTCTGTGGATAGGTTGCAAGGGAGAAGTACACCTTCAATGGGTCTTGCTCACAGCTGAGCAAAGCAGTCATACGTAACATTTGTAATTGTATTAGAAAAAATATTGCCTTGAATGCCTCTAAACTGCAATATAAAAATCAAAAGGCATTATTTCCTAGTTATATAAAAAATGGATCTGTCTTCCCCCTAGGTTAGATCACCAAATAATGTCATCAGGTTTGTATTATCAGTCAAATTAACATGACACATGGTAGGTGGATAGGATTTAAGACTTTAAATCAAATTTTCCTACCAATCTCTGAGTGATGTGCTGGTAACAGACCCTCAAATAGACCTGTTACTATCTATCACCATAATTTTGGGTGCTGTTATGTGCACACTATCAGAAATCAAAAGAAAGTAAGTGGGTTTTGAAATGCAGGTTGGCCACCCACATGTGTGATTTGATTTGTTCCTATCTTTTGACTTAAAGCTAAGTTCATAAGATTATCAAAGCCAAATATGGGACTTTGTATCAGAGGCTTTTATTTCTAATGTTTACTTTAAAATGACAACACACACATGTACTGGCAAAAGTGATAGTTTGATTAACAGAAATACTTACACACAGTAGAAATGTAGGTTTTAAAGGCTGCCTGCCTTTGTAAAACTGACATTTATGTTGCCTACTTTTACAGCAAGCCAAAGATGATGAACTTGACATCTTGTTGCTAAAGGATGATTTACTGGAAGATTTCAAGGTAAGGTGGAACTTTTCTGTATATGGTAAATGTAATTCTAAGCTAATATTCCATTCTAAGTGAGGCAGTTTGAAGCCTTATACAAAGCTTAGGGTGTGTTAAAACTGGTACAGTAATATGATAAAAATACAATGCCCAGTTTCATTATATCTTTGCCTGTCTGGTTTCTATCCTAGTCACTCCCTATGAGCTTGCTCTGCTTCTGGTTTCATGCTTGGTTTGGGCTACTGGTCAGAGCACAGAACTGGGAGCCAGGAACGCTGGATTTCCAGGGTGCTGATGCTATCTATGGGCTCCGACAAATAGCTTCACCTCCCTACAGCTCAATTTCTCCATCTGTAAAGCAGACACAATAATTCTTCCTTACCAGTCTCACATGATGGCAGCACAGCACTATGGAAAGCACTAAGAAAGAACTTTTACCTACATTGTATAACCCATAAACCAAATCTCTGGTCAGCGATGACGACGGAATGACAGATTCTGACAGATGTTTATGCTGAATCCTCCACTTATGGAGGCATGTCATTCATGCATTACTCTCCTCTTCCGCAAGGGCTATTTGGGCTGCCAATCCGTGTCAGACATGATCCGGTTTTACCTGGAGGAAGTCTTACCAAAAGCAATCAACAGCAGCAAAGACGTCAAGCGGAGCGTGGGCACTATTGGCAACATGCTGCTGGACCTCAGGAAGACACTGAAGCGCTGTGTGAGTATTTGCACCTCCTTTCGCTGTTCCTTGCCAAGACCCCAGAGAGCTGGAGTCAATACACGTATCCCAGGCAAAGCTGCAACGTGAAACCTCTGCAGTTTCTTGATGGAGAACTTCTTAAAAGGACTTTGCTGCCGGGAGGGCTTCAGACCAGGCCCACAGTGAGAGAGAGATCCACAAGTCCATCAGTACTGTGACTCAAGAAGCAGATAAGGGTGGTGGTACAAGGGAGGAGGCTTATAAAGATCCTATTCAGCCACCATCCATTTGTGCACCATTGAGATTCATGGGAGGTTGCCACTGATATCTGCATAGATAGCATAATGACAGGCACATTAAAAATACAGCGCAGCTGGACTTTAGGGACCAACATCCTTGTCACTGCATAAAAGGGAGGCAAAAGTTTTGCTTATTATGGGGCAGAGAGACAGACTGAAATACATGGAGACTGCAGCTGGGGAAGGTCAGACTGGGTGACCCAAGCAGTCTGTTCTTCAGGCTCCTGCTGTCTAGGAATCTCTGAGTTGTATCATCAAGATTCAGCTGCGACGTTTTAGTCATAATGATTTATTTCCAAATGCTAGCCAGCAGCCCCTGTAAAACACAGATCAAATATGAACTGAAGAGGGTTCATCTGAAGCCCTTACCTGAAAAGAACTGCTCTCACAGGCTGGGAAGGCAGAACTAATGCCGAATGCAACCTCAGCTCCTGGAACTGCTTGGCTGCGGTGTCCTGACTCTGACATCTGGTAGTGAAATGAGTCAGTCAGTGAGCAAGCAATTCAGCGGAGGGGAGGGTGAACCTGGCCTGAGAGTGCATCACACGGGCGATTTGCTGACCTGGTTACTAGAACTCTTTAAGGGAGGGAGGTGAGGCAAACGTACCAGCTATTGTTATTTGCACTGGGATAGCTGCAGGGGTTCCCAGAACGGATCAAGTTGCCTTTGGGTAGCACACTGCACAAAGGAGCCACAATTCCTCCTCCAAAAAGCTCACCATCTAAAAACACAAATGATGGCTGAACAGAAGGATAAAGCATCCTAGCAAAAGGGACAGTGGGCTGGACCCCATTATAAATGAAACACAGTGATAGATATTTATTCTATCACAAAATGTTGAAAGGCACACCTGGCTGGCATGGGGGAGATGAGGGGAATTTTGCAGCAAGCGAGGAAAATGGAAGATGGGTGAGAAAAGCTGGGAAAAAAGAGGGAAATGCACAGACTTGTGGGGGAGAGAGGCTGGGTAGCAGAGGAGCTGTTGTGGCAGGAGAAGCAGGGATAGAAGGACTTAATTATAATTTCCCTGTCACATACTGTATTTGCAGAAGACCCCTTTGTGCACTGACTGAGCTAGGGCAGCCTATCCCCCAACCTTCCAAAGCTGGTCCATAAGGGAAGGCTGTTTTGTTAAAAAAAAATTCCTTGTTGCTTTCCTCCACAGCACAGATTCTTCATCTGTGAGAAAAGGTACCAGACCTTAAAGCAGATCAAGGAAACATATGATAAGGTAAGCAGGAGCAGAGGAAATTTCCACCCAGGTGCTCATAAAATAAGGATCAATAAATAAATAACCACCCCCTAAACCTGGCCCATTGTTGAAACCCGATTTTTTAAAAAAAACAAGATTCTAAAGTATTTGAAACATTTGTTCTTGCACATCTGGTCTGGACCAAGATCAGAAACGCTGCATGAGAATGGCCCATCTGAGCCTCTTGCCGCATTTCCCACACACGTTTTTTTTCCACAGTCGGGAGGGCTAGAATTTTCAGATGAGGTCAGAGAAGTATCAAATATGATGGCAACGGAACCAAATGAAACCTGAACTCTCAGCCTTCTAAGGCGAATGCCAAAACACGGGACATGTTGAATCTAGAACCATTAATTGTTAGAGGGGAAAGATTTTTTAAAAAGCCTGGGGTTTTGGAGACACTGGTTCCAGCTCCTGGTCTACCCCAGACTCCTTGTATAGCCTTAGGCATTCTCTGAGCCTTGATTTCCTATCTGAACAATGGGGATAAGAGCAGAATCCTATCCCATCAGGGCTTTGTGAGAATAAATACGCTAAAGTTTATGGGGCACTCAGTAAGTACATTACTATGCAATGGGGCTGAGTCAAATAGATACCATAACTGCACTAGCCAGAGGAACCGCAGGAAAACAGCTTAAATTGACAGGGAATTACAGCATGTATGCATTTAGCACATTATCTAGACAAACATCTGTATGGTAAATTATACAACCACAAATGAGTAAGTCATGAGTTTATCAGTTCACATTGGCCTAAACCTGATTTTATCATTTCACATGGGCCTAAACCTGCCATTCCGATTCCTGTTGCAGTTGGGCAAATATTGCATTTAAAAACATCTGCAAGGGTTTTGGTTTTGTTTCAAAACTGTAGTTTGCTTTGAGTGAGTTTGCATTGCTTCTGTGTCTTGTCCTTGACTGTTCTGTCAAATGGAAGTATTTTAAACAAGGCAAGCAGGATCATTGTGGGTAGCCAATTTTGAATGCCAAATCACAAGCATTCCCATTGCAAACAGATCCAAAATGCAAAAAAAGCATTCCCATTGCAAACGGATCCATTCGGCCAATGAGACAACAGAAATAGATCCTAAGAGCTATGTCTCTGAACAAAGCAGTTCACATGTAAGATGCAATTTATGAACTGCTTGCAAACTACGTATCAGTTTGCTTGTCACTTGTGAGTTAGCAGTGATTCAACTTCTGTGGTTTATTAAGAATCCGAGTAACATTTCCACATGCTCTATGAATTATGTCTTTGGGCTTATGCTTTAACGTAAATTATCTTAAACAATGAGAAGTCCTGTGGCACCTTATAGACTAACAGATTTATTGGAGCATAAGCTTTCATGGGCAAAGAAACTTTGAAGTGGGTCTTTGCCCACAAAAGCTTATGCTCCAATAAATCTGTTAGTCTATAAGGTGCCACAGGACGTCTCTTTGTTTATGCAGATTCAGACTAACACAGCTACACCTCTGATACTTGTAAATTATCTTGTGATTTATTAGATAATTACTAATATGTAAATTAATGAAGCAATTTATATTTTCTGCTCCCCTCCCCCAGCTACAAGAGAAAGGGATCTATAAGGCAATGGGAGAATTTGACATATTCATTAACTACATTGAAGAATACTTGATGATGAAGATGAGAAAGTGAAACCCCCAAAAGTTCTGCATTTTTCACAACAAGGAAACTGCTGTTTTACAAAAGTAACATTAGACTCTGCAAACATGAAACGTAGAACAACCTTATGGTTTGGGACCAGAGTTACAGCCGAACAGTATTCATACTGTATTTTAAAAAAAACCATATTGCACCTATCAGGTGAAGTATTTATTACCTCCAATACCTCAATGTTTACATTTACAGATGACTTATTTTTAATAGGGAAAAGCAATGTAATTTTAAACTACTATTTATTGATTGATATTTGTGCATTGTATGATTGTGCTATTTGTATATTTAGCCTGGAAATACCAAAACTTATATTTCAGGAAATACTCTTCAGGGAGTAGATGAGTCATACTCATGCTCATCCTTGGTGTAATTCCACTGAAGTCAAGGTCTGTGTCATCAAGAGTTAGCCCTTCTAGGCCCCAAATCCAGCAAAGCTCTTAGACTCATGTGCTTAAGAGCTTTGCTGAAGCAGGGCCTTACTCCTTGATTAATAAACCTCTGTAGGCATGTAGTCTCTCTTCTGCAATTCAGAAAGGGAACTAACTTATTCTCTAAAATCTGAGCTCACATGCCTTAAAATAGCCAATTCATCATAGTGAAAAGAGCGGGCCTTTTCTTTCCTGGAAAGGCTTTTTTGGCGAGCTTTTACAGGAAATATGGGGAAGGACGATTTACCTTCCAAACTTAAATTCTCTAGGAAAACCCAGCAGATGATGATGTAGCAAACAAGAGACTCTGATTGACCAGACTTCCTGACCTCAGTTTAAATCTTAGCTCACTGTTGTTAAAAAAAAAAAAAAAAAATAGCATTTGGAATGAAATACTTTGGTTCTAATAGAACTTAACTTTTAACTGCTACTAGCCATTTAATCACCTGACTTTCAGAGCTGCCGGGGGCATTCACATTGGCTTTTGAAGCCCATGGGAGCTTTAGGTACTCAGCACCTTTGAAAATCAGGACACAGTGTCTTAGCCTTCAGTCTTCTGAGATTAACTCACTGATTGGCTAGGGGTGCGATGCTACCCACCATTTTAAGGTGGATTTGGTAATTTGCATTCAAATGCACGATGCTGCACGTAGGACGAACAATGGATTGGTTTTGCTTCACTTCTCACATGATGAACCAGGATGCAACAAGCAAATGCCACACTAGAAAAGTCACAACTCATTCTGGCTCTATGTACCTACATCGTCAGTATTCTCTGTGGGTATGTCTAGACTACAGAGTTTTGTTGGAAAAACAGATGTGTTTCCGACAAAACTCGTGGAACGTCCACAATGCAAGCACGTTCTTTCTAGAGTAAATTGAAAGAACAGAGGAGTTTTTGCGCAATCGGTATTCTTCTTTCTATGAGGAAGAAGCCTTTTTGAAAAAAGATGTGTGTGGAGGGGGAAGAGGGAGTTTTTCCGGAAGAAGAAGGGAGAGGAAAAAGTACAGGTGCCCTGGTAGCCATTCTGTCCATAGTAATCACTACTTACATGTGAGATAGCATCCAGGCAGTCTGGATACAATTTTTTGAAAAAGTGCATTGCTTTTTCGGTGTGCTTTGGTAGTGTGGACGCTCTCTTGAGCAAGAAGATTTTTAGGAAGATCTCTTCTGAAAAAAGCTTCTTGCGCAAGAAGCCTGTAGTCTAGACATCGCCTGTATGTCAGTATTTCAATCTCCCTTGTTTTGTAGGGGCTTACTATGCAGTAAACAGCAGAGGGTAAACCACAGTAATGTTTGGGACCTGGGTTCTAATATTTAGAAGCTCTAGGATGCTCTTCTGTAATGAAACACTGTCAGTTTGTCATTCGTGTTACTGTGCTTTGTAAGTTACCATTATCAACAGAGATTATGAGAATTAGACTTAACTTCTCAAAGCTAATGCTGCAGGGGCAAGTGGGGGTTGTGTTCCCCCTCATGGAAATGTGTTACAATGAAGAGTTCCCAGCCCTACTGCCAAAGCACTGTTCTGCAACTCAAAGAGCTAAAATTCATGTAAGGCCGGTGCCTAAGTCGGGGGGAGGGGAGAGGAGTCAGGCTTTGGCGCAAACAGTGTAAAATTCAGTCAGGCTTCTGCGAAAGTCTGCCCCTTTTTGCATTAAACGCCCATTGTCAAGCCAACGCTGCACTCCTTATTCCAGCAAAACTTCCTTTCACTCGCGTGATGTCACAGGGCTGTGAATTGTGCAAATGGGTTGCCGCCACCACAACCCAGCTCCAGACTTCCATGTGGTCAACTGCAATTTCAGTTCTGTAAGATGCAGCATGGCTGAGAGTGCCTTTGCTAAGGCTCTGTTGATGTGTTCATATGCAAGACTGCAGAATTTTCAATTTGTTTTTATGTGTATATAAAAATAAACCATTTGTGTTTTCTAACAAATCTGATCCAACAGACTTTTGATTTATTAACACATTATAAATGTGAACTGTTGTCAAAAACCTAGAGGAATGGCTTTTTAAATGTTTGCTGTTACACATAACAGCCTGTCTTCCTTAAGCCACTCACATTAGGAGACAGAGTCATAGATAGTCCACCCTCATAAAGAGTGATCTTACTAGGGCTCTCTGAATCAGTGGGACCCAGTGTGGACATAAAACAGATGGATCCCTTTGCAGAACCTTTTTAGTAGTCACTGCTCACATGGGGCTCACACCTGAATTTACATGGTAACTAAAGAAAAAGACAAATGAAGACCCTTATGTGACCTTGTCCAGGTCAAATAGGCCCCAATTCAAGAAACTCAACACATATACTTATGCATATACTTATGCACCAGGTACTGAATCATAAAGGTTTCAGAGGGGTAGCTGGAAAAACTTAAAAAACAACAAATAGTCTTGCAGCACCATAGAGACTAACAAAAATGTAGATGGTATCATGAACTTTCATGGGCACAACCCATGAATCATCCATAGGGATGGAAAAGATCTCAGGAGGTCATCTAGCACAACCCTCTGCTCAAAACAGGACCAACCCCAATTAAATCATCCCAGCCAGGGCCTTGTCAAGCCAGGGCCTAAAAACCTCTAGGGATGGAGATTCCACCTCCTCCCTAAGTAACCCATCCCAGTGCTTCACCACCCTCCTAGGGAAATAGTTTTTCCTAATATCCAACCTGGACCTTCCTCACTGTAACTTGAGACCATTGCTCCTTGTTCTGCCATGTGTCCCCACTGACAACAGCCTCTTTCCGTCCTCTTTGGAACCTCCCTTCAGGTAGTTGAAAGCTGCGATCAAATCCCCCCTCACTCTTCTCTTCTGCAGACCAAATAAGCCCACTACCCTTAGCCTCTCCTCATAAATCATGTGTTCCAGCCCCTGAATCATTTAACTCACTGGCAAGAATACTTTGGGAGACCATATCAAAAAGTGTTGCTAAAGGCAAGATGTGTCACATCCATCACTTTCCCCAGATCCTCAGAGCCAGTTATCACATCATAGAAGGCAATCAGGCTGGTCAGAAATAACTTGCCCTTGGTGAATCCAAGTTGGCTACTCCTGATCACCTTCCTCTCCTCCAAGTGTTTCAAAATGGATTCCTTAAGAACTTGCCCTTCAATTTTTCCAGGGACTGAGGTGAAGCAGACCATTCTGTAGTTCCCTGGATTTGCCTTCTTCCTTTTAGAAAAAAAATGGGCCCTATATTTATCTTCTTCCAAACGTCCAGGACCTCCCCGTGATGACCATGAATTTTCCAAGATAATGGCCAATGGCTCTGCAATCGCATCAGCCAACTCTCTTAGAACCCTTGGATTCACTTGATCCAGCCCCATGGCTTGCGCATGCCCAGTGTTTCTAAACAGTCCTTAACCTGTTCTTTCACCGCTGAGATCTCCTCACCTCCTCCCTGTACTGTGCTGCCCCATCTGGGAGCAGACCTTGTCTGTGAAGACCAAGGGGCAAAAAGCACTGAGTGCTTCAGCTTTTTCCTCACCCCGTCACTAGGTTACCTCCCCCATTCAGTAAGGATCCCACACCTTCTCTGGCCACCTTTTTCTTGCCAACATGTCTGTAGAAACCCTTCTTGTTCTCCTTCACATCCCTCGCTAGCTGTAACGCCACTTGTGCTTTGGCCTTCCTGATTGCACCCTGCCGTCCGGAGGAGGAGGTGGCTTCTGCCCCTCCGGGTCTGTGGGTGGCTGTGCCACCTCACTATGTCCCTACCAGCCACCAGACATGGGAAATCAGCAGAGCGACTGGAGCCAGGCCTATCAACACACTCAGAGTCAGAGTAATTTTGAAATTAGATATTTTGAAATAACGCTGTAGTGTAGACATACCCATACCATGTAAACGTTGTTTACCTGTGTTACTAATAAATCCTGACTGGAACAAAACATTTCCATTTTGCATTCCACTATTTAAGCTGGGTTATTTATGGATTTCAGGCAGCAGGGTCATCGGTTTCACTCTCAGTTTCCTGTAACTTTCTCTGGCACGAAGTTTCTTGTTTTTAGGTGAGCAATGCTTCCAAACGCTTTTTTTTAAAAAAAAACATAATGATAGGCAATGACATAAGATCTGCAGTGTTCTAGCCAGGCATCAAGAGGGTTGCAGATTAGAATGGCTGCGTGGAATTTGGCCATGTTGATTTTTCATTTTAAAAAAAACCTGTATTTTTGTCAGACACTCATTTTTATATTACAAAGTTACAGGAGTGGCCTGTACTGCAGAAATGCACTTGGTGTGAGTACAGCTTCTCTGTTTCAAGCAATACCCTTATTCCATACTCCTTTAGCTTTGTTCCTGACAGATGTTGCTACCCTGTTTCCTTTTTTGGACACATTTGTCCCATTATAGAACTTATCACTCTTCAGAGCCTGGGGACTGTAGTAGGTTAGCACACTCGCTTTTCACTATGGGGAATCTGGATTCATCTGTCAGACCAGTCCCTGACATTAAGCCCTTAATCCCGAGTCCACGCTTCAAAACTACTATGCAAAATAGAACTGAGAGCCAGTTGGGCTATGGAGAACCAAAGGGTTTTGCACACCAGTTTTGAGGTGCAACGATGGAGTAGTCGGACATATGGCATGTTTCAGTACTTGAAGAGCAAGAGCTGTAACTGGGATATTCATGTCTGAGAGGCATTGACTGAGCTACAGGGGTGGGGACCCCAGTTTCTAGGACACTGTGGGGTGCTGGAGATTAGGCCTGAGGTACGTTAGAGCTGAAGGGACTCTAAAAGCCTCCATTGGAGGGGATCCAGAGCCATTAATTAATCCTCTTGGTCTCTAAGGTCTTGTCTATCCTGGCACATTTTGTTGCCAAAACCTGCCTTTTCCTGATAAAACAGTGAGAGCATTTACACTGCAATGTGACTTTTGTCAGGAGAAACACCCAGTTTTGGCAACAAAAAACTTCCACCCCTACAAGAAATGTTTATCTTTTCCCCTCCCTTTATTGTCGACAAAGAGCCAGTGTGGACTTGGCTCTTTGCTTTGTCATGAGAACTGGCTTCCACCAGTGTCCCACGATGCCTGCCCTGATGGCTCTGCTCAGTGTTTTGTGATCTCTGCTGCTCTGTGGGCATGCACCCCCCTTCCTTTTCAAAGCTTCGGGAAGTATCTGACAGCTGAGTGAGCTGCTCCGTGTGGGGAACAAAAAAAGAAAAAATCATTGTATTGCTCCTGTTCTAGCCTGCTAGGAACACATAGGCAGGCAGGCGGCTGCTGCAAGGGGGAGGGCTGGAGAGACGGCTGTGCTGCTTTGACATTCTTCAGCATGGAGAGCTCACAGAGCTACGAGGGAATCCCAAGAAGCGCAGGGATCAACTCGGCCTTTCCACAACACT